AGTCAACAAAAAATAGGCTTTAGCAGTGCCGTGGCTACCCAGTGGGCACGGAAGTAAAAAATACGTCTTTTAAACGTCTTATGCACGTTTTGGACGTCTTTTGAACGTCTTTTGAACGTTTTGGACGTCTTTTGAACGTTCAAAAGACGTCTTTTTTTGGTCCGGTGCCCACTGGGTAATGGGTTGAAGGCATTCTCCAAAAAAAAACGTGTTATTAGTGTTAATAGTCTCAAAATTTTTTAAATTTTACTGCAAGGTTTTGTTAAAATAAAAAACTCCTTAAATTAGCAAAAAGGCACAAAATTTTGCTGCTTCCATGATTTTTAATCTGGGATTCTGTGCCGCAATTAAAGGTTTTTCGGGTTGTATAGAGTATCTAAGACACTTTCTTTACCTTTTTCTTTTTCAATAAACTTTTTTATTGAAAAAAAGAGTTAGGGGGGTGGGTTGAAAAACGTTCGTACTTTTTATAGGGGATGGGGACTTAAAAGTAGGCTTGATAACAGGGGAGGGGTCAAATTTCATAATTTTTGGCGTACGTACTTTATGGACGATTCCTAAAAGAAAGCAAATACTTTACGCGTTCACAATAACTTGCAATAACAACATTCTTTCTTTATATTATACGGAAAAAACACAAAAAACTTACAGTTCTAATTTTTTTTTCTATTCTATTTGCACACTCCAACATCCAGTGCAATATCTGTCTGCTTTCTCTATGCTATCTTTTTAACTCGACTTTTTCTAACTTTTGCTGTATGATCCTTCGTTCTTCTAAAGTTCTCTTACTCTTTGTCTGTAAAGTGGGTTATGATGTTCTTTAGTGAGTTGAACTTGGTCTTTGTATCTGGCCTTTATATGGCTATTAGCCGGAGGAGGATAAACCACAATACCACATTCTTTCTTTATACTTTCTATTTATTTGCGTGCAACAATCTTGACCAATAATGGCCACTAACTATGCATCAGATCATGTATGTTATTTGTAGGATAAAAATGTCATACAGACATTTTTATCGTGAAAATAAAACTTTGAATGGATGTAAATGATGCTTTAAATGTCTTGTACCCGAAAAAAGTAAAAGTAACGAGTTATGCGGTAAAGAAATTACATGTGCCGCAAAAGCTCTCATTAGCAACCTTATACGACACTTATCTAGAAATCACGCGGAGCTCCTCATAACGTTAGAAAAATAAAAATTAGAAAAAAAATTAGAAGAAAAGAATAAGAAGCGAAAGTATACAGCCATCGAAGGCAGCACTTTACAGCAATCCATATTAAAGTGTTTTGTACCATAGCAAAATAATTTGCATACAGCAAAAGATGAGTTTTTAGAAGCTTTAAACCAGCTGGTTTGGGTTAAAGGTCTTTCATTCCAGGTTCATATTATTTTTTCGTTAATATTTTTTTTTTTAATTTCAGAAAAATTCTTAGCTGCATTACATTTTAAAAATTAAAAAGTTATATGTTTTTTGCCAAAATAACGTTTTATAAACAATTATAATTATTCTATAGGCGTTTGATCGTGAACCAGTTCAAAAACTTTGCGTAAAAGCTCTCATTTCGGATTTAAATGAATAGAGATAATATAAGAATTTAAATTAGCGATCTTGCCAAAAAGCATCGCAAACAAATCAAAAATAAAATATTGAAAATGCTAGTTTATTTAAAAGTCGATTCTTCATCAAGGTTTCTCAAAGTAGTATTATATGCGCCACTACCTTGGTATAAATACTCAATACTCAAACAATGATGAAATTGCTGTGATCAATTTCGGCACCTTAGATACAAAGGGAAAACAAACGGCGGAATGCATTAAAATTATTATTGAAAAGTGTTGAGATAAGTTTAGAATCAATAAAACTTTCTTTTAAGGCCTCAGTGTTGACAACGCTACAGTAAGTATCATATTTTGAAATTCATCCATATTTTTTTAAAATGAAAAAAAGTTGTTAATTAAATAATTAAAATTAATATTTTCAGTAAATAAAATCATTTAAAAAATAAACTGTTTTAATGTTTGTCAAAATGTCAATAAAATCTTTTACATACTGTAACTTATATTCACTAAATTTTAAATTAACAATTGAAGTCATTTTTAATATATTTAGGTGAATATAAAGTTGGTACGCGACTTCAGCATCAGCGTATTTAAGGAAATTGGCAATGACGAAAACGATTTTTTAGTAGAAACCGATAAGTTTGACGAAGATGGTCATTCTACAGCGGACAATGTGGCAGCAGTCTTGGTAAGTAGAGTTGCTAGTAGCATGAGTGTTATACATCTTCAAAGATGTGCTTTCAACACTTTACAGCTAGCCGTGAATGATGCATTGAAGAGGCCAACAATAAAAAATTTCATTATTCATACAAGAGAAGTTGTCAAAACTGCAAGAAATTCTAAGTGTATTGACTTCTTCATGGACCAAGCTCCATATCTCATTCGTTCCAATTTTAGATCAGGCTACCCGTTGGTCTAGCCAGTTCAATATGATTAAGATGCTAATTAAGGTAAGTTATAACTTATAACTTACCCAAACTAGTTTTTTTTTAACTTTAATTAAACCTTAAAAAGTTTTAATTAAAGTTTATAAAACTTATATTCTAATTTTATTCTATTTTATTCTATAATATTTATATTCTAATTTTTTCCAACCATTATAATATAAATCTAATTATTTTAATATTAATGACATTTACATTACTTAACAATTTTTAAATTTACGTTTATGTAAACATTCCTTTATTAATCCTCTTTATTTAAGTAGTTATTAACTTCGAACATATATTTAATGAATTCTTCTAGATTTTCCAGTAATTCTTCTGTTCTTCTAAATTTGACCAGTAATTCAAAATCTGAATACGCAAAAAGAAGCTCCTAAAGAAATTAATGTACAACCATATTTTTAGGGGGATGTGGGAGGAATTGAGAGATCTATTGCATATTGCACGCAGTCCTTCTATTCATCTTCAGCGTGAAAATATCACTGCAAGTGAATTCCTTTTTTATTGGAATTCAATAAAATGTGAACAAGACGGGAAGGGCAGTGACTTAGCCAAAGATTTCCAAAAAGGAATGGATAATAGAGAGTGCACGCTACGCAAAAATTCGTTGTTTCTTGCAACAGTTTTCGTGGATATTAGGTATGGCTGTATGCTGACAGCAACTTAAAACAAGATTTTTTATTTTAATAAAATTTATATATATATGTATATATATATATATATATATATATATATATATATATATATATATATATATATATATATATATATATATATATATATATATATATATATATATATATATATATATATATATATATATATATATATATATATATATATATATATATATATATATATATATATATATATATATATATATATATATATATATATGTATATATATATATTATTTAACTTTAAAAAGTACATATTTAAAAAACTATAAATATTTCTATAGATAGCTTCAGTTGATGGACTTTGGAAAATTAATTACAAACTGATTCAACTGGCTAATAAAAATAAGAATGATGAACTCAACAATACCAAAAATACAATAGCGCCCAACTCTTTTGCGGTTTATGTTGCAGACTCTAGTTTAAAAAATGTGGAGAATGCTTCACCAGCTGCAAAGCAATGACCAAACTTATTTATGCTGTGTGAACAGGAGATTGAAGAGAATCCTTCAGAAGAAAAAATGCAGATTCAGTTAAATGTAATAGAAACGGAGTTTCAACGAATTCTAAAAACAATTCAGAAAATTCGTTCAATGCTTAAAGACAACTCCTCCAACTAAGACGAGTTTTTAAAACTTAACCCATTAATCGTTCGGTTTACATCATAGTTAATAGACGAGATGCTTTTTTTACAAACAAACGAGTTTTTAATTTGAATAACTTTTGATGAAGTAGATATTGCAATAATTTTTTCAGTAACGTTATAATTTAGCGTGTAGTAAGTGAAAGTAAAATTTTTTTTTATAATTTTATGATCATATCGTTTTAAATAATCTGAGAAATTGAGAAATCTGTGCATGCGACAAAACAAATCAAACAAAAGTTCTCTATGGAATTGTAATATTCTCATTAATTCTTACTATCCAGCAAAAGCGGGACAAATTAACTTCTGGGATTAAGCAACCGTGGCGCAATTGTAGTACACTTACCTAAAAAACAAGGGATCTGTGGTTCAAACCCTTACTGAGGCAAGAAAGAGAGAAGTTCCTGTTAATTGCTTTTCCGCGGTGCTCTGTGATAAGACCGTATGGACTCCTTAGAGCAGCTTATATATACATTATAAATATATACATAAAATATTTTTTTATTTCGTTGCTATTGATATCTTTATTTTTCTTAGAAACAACCTATATTTGGCATTTGCAAATATTTTACGAGTGCTATATTCACTAAATTTGGCATGAGTACCAATATGAGATCACGCTTTTTAGAAAAGTGATAATATTTTTTTATTTTGTTGCGATGGTACTTATATTGAACTATAGTTGGCGAATTGCAATTAATGAGGACCTTTTTTTTTTTTTTATTGTTGTTTGTTGGTGTCTCTAGTTGGCAAAAAAAATACATACACCCCCCCCCCTGGAAGACCTATTTGGGACAGCCCTGCTTGATCCCTCTGCCAATATTGTTGTTATTGGTGACTTTAATGATCATCACACTGAATGGCTCGACTCTAACACAACTGATCCTGCTAACACTAAACAGGCCTGTATTGAAAAAACCTTAATAAATTATTAACTTATCGTCAGCCGAGTATGTCCACTTTTCGTTTTTTTTTTGTGTTTATTATTAAAATATGTTCTTCAAGATAAAATCTGTGTTTGGGCTGATTCTAGTCTCAAAAGTCATAAAAATTAGGTCTATATTAAAAGAACCAGAAGGCTGTATGTCCAAAAAATTAATAACTGTTATTATCAACTGGCCGTATATCCTTTGACCAATCATAAGACAAAACATGAGTTCTTTTCAGCTAAGAATTTGTTTTTGCCGTGAAAACTTCATTAAATCAAAATGGCGTTTGATGAAACTACTAAGGAAGTCTTTCAAAGGTACGAATATAACTTTTGAATACTCTAAGTTATGAAATTATGAATAGTTCAGACTGCTCCTTTCTTATGACTATTATTTATTTAATATATTATTATTATTACTATTATTATTATTGTTGCTAAATAAATATATATATATATATATATATTTTTTTTTTTTTCTTGAAGTTTTACATCCATGTTTCCACACTAGTGTGGTTTGGATGGTTCTTCAAAGTGACATAAATGCCACTATGTAAGAGTTTACAACCGGATGCCCTTCCTGACGTTAACATGAAACAGGTTGTACTGGATTTCATGTTACCAGTAGCAGGATAACCTAACTTGACATTAGGGTAACCTGACCTGACTGTTATATATATATATATATATATATATATATATATATATATATATATATATATATATATATATATATATATATATATATATATATATATATATATATATAGGTACCTTCATAAAAAATTTAAACTTTTATTTTTTAAACCAAATTAATTCTATTATATAGAGATTATTAAATGGCAAATTTTTATACCAAATTTATTATCTGAAGTCAACTATAAAAAAAGATATTCAATTTTGAAGGTAGAGAAAATAAAGTGGACATCTTAATAAAGATACACAAAAAAATGACTTCAAAAAGTGGACTTTATAACATAGTTCATAAAGTATTAACAATTTACCGCCACATATATGATAAAAACTGTTTATTATATCCCACTTATATTAAATATATTTAAAAAAAAAAAAAAAGGGAGGGGGGTGGTGTTTAAGCTCATTTTTAAAGTGGGTCAAATTCGATTCACGTCATTTTATTAAAAAAATTACGATAATTAATCTAAATTTAAGTTTGTTTATCCTTAAATCTAATGAGAATGTGAAAAAAAAATTGTATAAAAAACTGAAGTGATTGGAGCCTGGGAACAAAAATACCACAAAAAGTTTGTACCCCCACATAAAAATGTGAGGGGACTAAGTTATTAAAATACTTTAACTTATTATTTTATACTACATTTAAATCCATCAACAGACCCAATAATTCTTGATACTTTTAAAGTTATTTCACATGGTCATAACCTTTGAGCATTAAAAAATGTGAATTTAAATTTAGTTTTGGATAATAAACTTAAAAACTTATTAACTCATTAAATTAACATTTGAGACAGGGGGGTTCTATCTTTTTTAGATAGTTTTGTTCCTAAGTTTTAACTACCACAATTTTTTAGCAAATCATTCTTATTTGACATATGATTGAACATACTTATACTTAGAGTTTTCATAATGCCAAGTACAGTATCTGAAATGTAAAATAACCCTGTGTCTGCTCTTGGTTAATATAAAAATTTTTAAAAATTAAAAGGAAAAAATAAAAATGTATACAAAATAATCAACATACACAAAATAAAAGATAATAATGCCTATTATATTATAGTAATTTTTTAATGAACTCCAGGTCTTTAAGTATTAGATCTGCTATCACTCCTTCCTGGCTTATGTCAATATCTTCAGCTTCATCTTCATTGACTTTCCAATATCCTATTGTGTATGTAATAGATTTTTTTTTTGTTGTTACCTTTTGATCAACAATTCTACCAAAAAATAAATGTATATTACCATCATCTAGCTCCCATTTATGGCTTAAGAGCTGCGCTATCAAGTTTCCATTTTTCAAAATTACTCCTATAATTTGTTTTTGTTTTTCATCAATATTAACAAAAAGAGGATTTGTGGTTTTGGCATTTTTATTTTGTTGGTTTTAACTCATCCTTATTTAGATATTATTTTCTTTTAATAGATATGTTGTTAAAATGTAGATACAGATTTGTATGTTATCTATATGTGTTTATCATGTGTGATTAAATTTTTCATTAAAATTATCATTAGGATTTTAAAACTAATTTATAGTTGGTTTGGCACTATTGCTCTCCTTCTCTAGTTGCTTTCTTTCCAGACGTTCTTTTTTTAAATTAGCTTTGGCACATCTTTTTCCTATTTCTTCATACAAAAGATTATTAAAATTTTTAGAGGCTTGACACGTTAAAGCTCCTCTGCGAATTGCAAATTGAATAAGATCTTCTTGTTCTGGCAATGTTTTCTCATCAAGCCATGTTAATGTTTTGTTTACCCTGGCTTTTATTTTTGAATCCAGAAAACTAAAAATAGCATTAGGAGCACAACGCAAAAAAAAATCAAGCATGCCCAAGATCCTTTCAGCCTCCATTGTATGAGGTGGAGCAGATAGCATGGTTTTTATCATTTCTTTAGATGGATTTGAGAAATTGCCAGTCAAATACCTGGCCATCTGTCTTTTGAGAACTGTCTCTGTGTAGCTTATCAAAGCTGATAAAATCTTTACCAAAATATTTTTATTTTTTATTACACGAAGGGATTGGTGTACCTTATCTTTTTTAATATTTAATACTTGACTAAAAATATCCACATCTGTATAAAGAATTGATTCTGCATTACTTTTGAAGTAAGCAAATTTCCTTATTGCTTTCTGGAAAATGTCAACCTAATAAAAAAATAATTTTTGTACATTTTTTAAACTACTTTATTTGTTTATTAAAAAACCTTAAAAACTTACAAACTCAAGATTACTCTTTCCTTTTGCATTTTTATAAACCAGACTCATCCATGGCCCAGTTATTATTATTCCTATCAGGCCCAACCCTTGCAGTTGCACAAACGTTATATCATTACTCATAACTTAAAGTAAGAGCTGGCAAATTTTATTTTTGGTGTTGCTAGAATAACGAGAAAATGTTAATACATGGAATTCTATTAAAACAAATATTCATTTAAAAAAAATTACTTTTCAAGAAAGGTTTTTATAAGTCTTTCTTATATAACAACAATTCCTGCCATATGGAACAAAACATGAAATCTACTACCAACATATCTAAGGAATAGCCCTGGAGCAACATTGTTTTTTTTTAAGATAGCTTTTGAATGCTGCAGGATCGCCTTTAAAACTATACCTGATTTTTAAAGGGCAAAAAAATTAAAATTTCAAATTTTCAAAACTTGGAAATAATAAAGAAATAATTGCTCACAAGAAAATAAAACTAAAAAAAATTAAATAATGAAAGAAATATACATAAAAAATTACCTTAGCTTAGAAATATTTTTGAGGACTGTTACTGCAACCCCATCAGTTCCTTTAGCCGGTTTTACCTTCAACTCATTATCTATTGTTTTAAGAGCTAATAATGCTTTTAAGGCAATAGCTTCCAATGGATGAACATTGCAGTACAGTTGCATTAATTGAATGTCCATCTCCTCCTGAAGCATGTTTTTCACACAACTATTAACAGGTGCTCTGTCTGACAGACAACTTTTGATTTTTTGAGTGAATACATCTAAAACTTCTACTGCTGGCATATTCTTAAACTCTGCAAATGTATTGGCAAGTTCTTTTATTACACTGACAATATGAGTGGCACAGTCAAATCCTGTACCTCCAGCAAGTTTAGCGGTTGATAAGGAATAACATCTCTGCGGAAGATAGGTACTGATAAGAAACTCATTTACATGTTTGTCTAAAATGGTGGTTGCATCAAACACTACTGTTGCACATTCACAACGAAAAAGTGCCTCACCAGCCTGAACCAATGCTAAAACACCTGGCTCATATGCCATTCGATTTACTGTGGATGAGTGAGGTGTTTCTTGCAGTTCTGTGTTGTGTAATAGTTCAGAAATTTTTTCTAACAAAAAGGAGACACTTTTCATAAGCACATTGTTAATAATAGCAGCATAAACACATTTTCTTATGGGTAGGTCATATGTTTTTAATTTTTTGGTTTCTATAAGTAACCTATTATCTTTTTTTTTCTAAAACAATACTATTTAAATAATGATTTTGTTCTACAAGTTGATTATTTTCTTGCTCTTTGATTTTTATCTGTCCCTGTAATTCTTTGATAGCAATTTTGTGCTTCCTTTCTATCTTTTTAACATTTTGTTGCAACTTCGTTCTACTAATTTTAAGAATTCTCAATTCATTAATGAAATCTAGAGAATGAAACTTATTCTGCTGAACTGTTTGTTTTTTTTTCTTCTGAATATTTCAATTTCCACAAATTTAGTGAAAAATACTGTCTTTTAAATTTTTTGTTTGTAAGCTTGTTACGGGTCATTGATTTTTTTTAAAAACGAACTCTCTGCTGCAATTTTCTGTTTTTTTCATGTAACCTACATATTTCATCTTTTTTTATTTTGCATGAACCACACTTCATTCTCTGCATTGTGTCTGAAGCAATATTTAAATCACTTGCAACGTTTAAGTGAATATTTGTATTAGAACTATTTCTTTTTCTTTCATATTTAAATGGTTGCTGCAAAAAAATAACAATAGCAGCCCATGACTGGGTAAGGTTTTTTTTAAAGATTTTTATCTTTTTATGCAAGTATCTTATATTGTTTGAGAATATTTTAAAATCAGATGTATTTTGAGGTCCAATCTTCAGTTTTTTTAATTTCAGGCAAGTTTTTGATAATTTAAAATTTTTTCAGAAAAATTTTTGTAAATATCACCATTTAACAAAGGCTTCGATTGGCATTTATATGAATTAATTAAAACGCAAATATTTTTTGCAGTCTTGTGGTCTATCTAAAGTAAAAAAAATAAAAAGCAACAATGAAAATAATTTAAAAAAATGGCGCTATAAACAATAAATTATTTGGCGGTAGCAACTGTATGCATCTTTTTAAAACATGAAGAAGATTTTAAAGTATCGGTTATTATATATCAAATGAAAGATCTATGAAGAATTTATTTGAGCATGTCAAAATCATTTATGAGCATTTATATTGGTATATTAAATGTTTTATATGAAAATTACCTATTTTGGCAGGGTTCCTTAACTGTGAAAAAATCGCAATTTTTTAAAAATTGTATAACTATAAATAAGTTTAACCTTCACTTTAAACGAAAAAATATAATAAAAATTGACAGTTTATTTTTTAGCTAGCTTTTAAACACTCTTTCCTTTATGCATATAGCGTAGTTTGGAAAAACACGGAAATCCAGAAACTTTATAAAAGCGATGTCAAAATAATAAAACGGACGCATACGAGGGTACCTATATATATATATATATATATATATATATATATATATATATATATATATATATATATATATATATATATATATATATATATATATATATATATATATTAATTTTTATAATATTAATTTAGAAACTCAAAGGAACAAGATGTTGCAGACATTCAATTAAAACCTACTATTCAGATCAACTCCTCTGAACATCTCTCTGGGATTCAATCACAAAATTCTGATAAAAATGATGATTTACTTGTTCATACCACTTCAAAGGAAAATCCCAGAGAAAGTGTCAGAAAGCACAGAAGAACTGGAAAGGATCGTACACGCAAACGAAAATGAGACCCTAGCTCCTGGAAAAAAGAAATAAGAAAGACACTTAGACAGAGTGGTCAGCAATACGTAGGCTCAAACAATAAAATACAAAGGGGGAAATTTATTAAAGATTATTAAAGAGAGATCACACAGTGTGTCGTTTCAAATGTAAAATAAAAATTAGTATTGCTGATCAAGAAACTTTGCACAAACAACACTGGATTTTGAATGATCAAGAAAAGCGTCTTTTCTACTCCCAACTACAATCGTAAAAAACAAAAAAAGATGTCGTTTGGCTGAAAATCCAAAATTGAAAAAAAAAGTTATTCATATTACTTTATTGTTTCTGACGAACTCATACGTGTTTGCAAAGAGTTTTATCTATATACTCTAGATATTGATGAAAAAAGAATTCAAAATCACCACTCAACAAAAAATAAAACAACAGGGACACCTCAACAGTATAAACGAGGTAAAGTATCTAATCGAACTGTCCCAAATAATATTAAAGATTCTGTACGTAAACATATTCAAAGCATTCCCAGAATTGGCAGTCACTACTGTCGCAAAAGTACAAACAAAGATTACATTCAAGAAAATCTAAATATGAGCATTTTGTATGAGAAATATTGTGAAAAATGTGAACAATGTTGTTCCTGTGAACAATGTTGTTCCTGCAAAAAAAAGTATGTATAGAACAATATTTAACACAGAGTTTAATACTGAAGTTCATACATTAAAAAAAGATAGATGTGACAAATGTGAAAGTATGAAAATGAATCCTTCACCTTACTTAAATGAAACAACATTACATGAAATCCACACAAAAAACAAAGTTGAGACTAATGAAGAACGTAATCGTGATCAACTTGATAAAAGCAAATGTATTGTTTGCTTCGGTATGGAAAAAGTGTTAAGCCTACCAACAACAAATGTTTCTAACTTTTTTTACAAACGAAAGTTGACTGTTTTTCATTTGACTGCACAGTGCTCAATATCCAAAAAAAGTTACGGTGCACTCTGGTCAGAGCTTACAAGTCGCCGTTCAGGAAATGATATAGCTAGTGCTCTTCTTGCTATACTAGATCAAATAGTTGCGGATGAACCTCTTGTTACTAAAATTTGCTTATGGAGCGACTCTTGTGTACCACAGAACCGAAATAGTTTTATGACGGTTGCTTTAAAAATTTTCTTACAAAATCATCCACAAATTAAAACAGTCATTCAGAAATTTTGTGAGCCAGGACATAGTGTGATACAGGAAATAGACAGTTTGCATAGTATTATTGAAAGAAATATGGTAGCTTAAGTGTACAGTCCGATTGGCCTTGTCAGAATACTAAAATACATTCCTCGAAAGAATCCAATCATGTTGATTCAAATTAAAGAAGAGCAGATGATGGACTTTTAATCTGTTGCAAAGAATTATTCGTTGCTTAAAATCATTCCATATGCTAAAGTAAAGGTACTTAAATACTCAGCAGATAAGCCATTGAGTGTGGAATACAAGAATACGTTTGATTGTGAATATAAGGTGGAAAATATTGTCAACTTTAAAACACGAAACCAAAGTTCAGGTAACAAAATAATAAGAAATCGTGAAACATTTTTGCAACCAAAGGTGCTTCCAAAAAAAAAATTATATCGAAGGAAAAGGTAGAAGATCTAAAATCGATAATAAAGTTCATGCCTCTTCAAGACAATGAATATATGACATAAGTATTGCAGTCATTTAACTAGTGTTTTGCTTTAACTATTGGCCAATGTTCTTTGCTGCAATTTGCAGCTCTATTGACTTCTTTATTTTATGAACTTTTTATTATCTTTTTAATTTTGATCATATTGTATAAATTTTAATTTGCAGGTCGTTGTACTTAGTTTTTAACTGTAACAGATTGTTTGAATTAGTCTTTAATTCATAGTAACTACTGCTACCACCTTAAAACATTTAAACAAATTTTTTTTTTTTTAATTTAAAATTTAAAATTATGTAACTTTGATTGTACTATTAATCATTTGTGTTTGTGCCAATGTAACTTGTAACAATGTAACTGACCCTCATTAGCAAAATAAAATATGTTTGCAGTAATATTCGGTTTTATGATCTCCGGAACTACATTATAGTTTTATAAATACTTTAAAGGGCTAACAAAGAGGTTAACTAACAAAGCTAGTAAAGTAAGGTACGAACCAGTTAAGAGGTTAAAAATAGAACCAGCAAAAGTCCCACCGAAAATTAAAAACATTTTTTCTATATTTCACATTTAATGTCATCAAATAAAGCGCTTTCGGAAGAAAAAAAAAAAGCATATAATTTTATAAACTTAACAAAAATGAAAACCAACAGGCTGCATATCCATAACCAGGTTCAGTTTGCAACGTTTTTATTGTTAAACGACCCTTTCAAACAAGATTTTATCACTTCTATAGAAAATTAGACTTAATTTACTATTAGATCTAAAAATATGAATAGTTTACATAAAGTACAACAGTCGGTATTTGTGCCCCAAAATTTGAATTTCAGATTACTCGGAATCACAAAAAGTGGACATACGGCCTCTTGGTTCTCGGCTGACGTTATTTAATTTGTATTATCCCAAACGATGTTTTTTCCACTTATTAAAAGTTTACGGTTTTTTTTTACTTAAAAAAATAGTAACATTTTTAGTTATTATTTCAAATTTATTTCATTCTAAACATTTCAAATTATTCTTAAAAACTTATTAACATTGAATTAACATTTGAACTTAAGTTAGAAAAAAAGCTTCTGATTTCAAACTGTGGTTATTTCACTAATAAAGCTCATAAAAGCGTTTGAAGTCGGCAAAAAATTGCAGACCTCGTTTCTATGTTTTATGGTAGACCCTTTGTGTCAAATTTGTTTTGTCTACCTGTTGCCAACCACAATTTTTCTGATTCTAAGGGCTGAACTTACTAGTATACAAGTATGTTGTCTTAAGGTTATTACTAGTAACCGGTATGTTAGTGCCGTAGTGGTGTAATGGCAATTGGCTTGCTTCATAAGCAAGAAGTTCCAAGTTTGATCCCCATTATGTTCCTGGTATTGCTTCACTTAAATTGTTTTGAGAAGCAATTTGAGAAATTTTGACGAACCATCAGTTCGTCAAGGTTCGAGTTTCGGAGTTGAAGTGTTAAGAGACAGTTGTAACCACAATAAAATAGCCTTCTCCACTGTATTAACTTTATTGTCTATCGTCAAATGAGTTTGGGGAGGTGAATTACATTAAAAAAATGTTATCTTAAGGTCATTACTAGTAATTGACTAGTTTTAACTTTTGTTGGAAGCGCAACACTAGATACCAGTGGGTTATTTCCCAATTATGAATTGTTATTTCTAATTATACAAAGTTAATTAACGCATTTTTTAAGACAAATAGTAAAGTGTTATTATTTTCTTTACATCCGAAGTTTATAAATATATAATGATTCATTTTTTATATACCTAGAAACCCCAAAGTGGATCAATTGATCCAACCTGATAATTATATGCATTTAGACTTTTTTTTTTTTTTGTTTAAATGCATGAAACTAACAGTTAAAACTTTTAATTTTGATGTAAAGTATATAAAATATATAAATTTCTTTCACCCTACATATATATACATAAATTTTATGTCCAAAATACGGCGCGTTTTACTCTAAGCAAAGGTTTAATAGCATGATTTGCCTAAATCTGGATTGCTCTAGCTTATTTATACATAAAACTTAAATTAAAATAAAAAAAAAGAAATAAAATAAGAATATTAGCGAATAAAATAAAGTATTGTTTCCGCATCTTTGTTATAAATATGCTGCCACCACAAGTACACTAATATTACTGCTTTACACTATGAAACTTATAATATATTGGCCTGTAGCAAATATGTATTAAGTATCATAAAAGTTATTAATATTATAATGAAACGCATAAGTTCAGCAAATGCTGATGGTGCTTCATCATCAAAAACCTCTGTTGCAGTACATTCTCATTCAATTGACCAATCAGTTACATACCAACGTCCAAAAATTGTGTCGGCGCAACAGTGTTAATTCATATTAGAAGAACTCTCAAAAATGGACAGTGGTGATGAATCAGATTTAGCAAACGAAAATGAAAAGGCAGATGTTGTTGAAGATAATCTTTCTGATGACGATGAAAGTAATACTTATATTTACAATTCGGGAAGTAGTAGCGATGATGATGTAGAAGAAAATTCATGCGGTGGGATTAATGGTGTAACTGTTAAAACTCGTAGAGATGATGTAAAATGGACTATTGCGTCAACAGTTGAGGTAACAGGAAGACTCCAAACTCAGAATATGTTTACTGCCAAAAGCGGAACAACTTCTTATTGTCGTAATGTTTTGACACCTATTGACGCATTTAGACTAATTATGGATGAAGGCTTTACACGCTTTATCAAAAAATGTACTGTTTTATCTGTCAATTTATCAAATGAAGGATGGAATATAAGTGACATTGAACTTGATGCTTTCATAGGCCTAATATAACTTCGTGGATGTAAGAACGCAAGAAATTTTCCAGTTAAATTCCTATGGTCTGAAAAATATGGCAACAAAGCTTTTGCAGAAACTATGCCGCGTTCTCGGTTTGAAGACATGAAAAATATTAGATTTGATATACGTTCAGAACGTAGAGAGCTCTTACAAAGTGATAAATTTGCTCTTATGTCATGGGTGCTGACAAGATTTGTAGAAAATAGTCAAAAATGCTATATACCTGAGGAATCTTTAACAATTGATAAGCAGTTGTTCCCAACTAAAGCTCGGTGTTGCTTTACTCAGCATATGCCTAATAAATCGGACAAGTTTGGAATCAAATTCTGGATTTTAGCTGATTTAAAAACTAAATATTGTCTTAGTATCAAACCGTATCTTGGTAAAGATGAAAACCGTGTAGAAAATTTGGGTACTCATGTGGTCATGTCACTAATAGAACCATATTTAGGTCGCGGGTATAATGTTACTACAGATAACTTTTCTACAAGTGTCGATCTTGCAACAAAACTTTTGCAAAAGAAAACGTCAATAGTTGGAACAGTTAAACATAGTAGAAAAGAAATTCCAGCATTTGATCCACTTCCACTTTACGATTCAACTTTCTACATAAATGGACCATTGAACTTGATTGTCTACCAGGCAAAAAAGAAGTAAACTGTAATTTTATTATCAACACTACATAAAGGGGTAACTAAGCAAAGCGATGGGAAGAAAAAACCAGAGGCAGTACTTTATTACAATGCGAATAAATGTGGAGTTGATATGTTAGATTCAATGTGTGGACAAATGTCAACAAAATCTGGGTGCAGACGCTAGCCGTTAGCTGTTTTTTTCAATATTTTGGACTTGACCGGTGTAAACGCTTGGATTATTTTTAAAAAAGTTACACAACAAAAAATTTCGAGACGAAGGTTTCTTTACACTTTATCTGAGCAGTTAAGAGAAGCAAATATAAATCACCGAAAATCCCAAGTTGCTGCCAACAGTAATACCACAATAACTACCAACAGTAATACACAATTACCCACACAATTGAGATGTCAGATAAAAACAGACTGCAAACGTAATCTGACATCAACAGTATGTGCAAGTTGTAACAAACCTGTTTGTGGAAAGTGCATGTCAAATTTATGCAAACATTGCAAATAACATTAGTTATTTTACTAAAATTGTTTTGTATATGCATGTTTTCTATAATGTGGACCAGTTGATCCAGCTTAGGGTTTTTAGGTATAAATATTTATAGCCGCATCTCTGAATGTGTTTTTTATTTAGTTTTTCCACTTTTCAGTAAATAATATCAAAATAATAAAATTCATAAAATATCTTTTTATCAACATTAAAATTTTAGCTTCAGCAAAGTGTCAAAGTCGTGTTTGGATCAATTGATCCACCTTGGGGCTTCTAGTGTTAAATATTTTTTAGTGTAAACTAAAGCTATCTTGTAAATATCAACTTGAAATAAAGTCTTTAAATTAAATTAGGTTAGATTAATATTTTAACTGCTCGTTAACTTAAAGAGAAACGTGCAATTTTTTTTCATTACATCCGCCGATGGAAGGCAAATAGAAGCGGCCGGAGGCAAATGGAGGCGGCCTCCAATGGTTTTCCCTTCTAAATTTCTTCTGGAGGCGGCCACCCGTTTTCCGTTTTTCTATTGGCGTCGGCCTCTAAACCATTTTGCCCAAAAAAACTCTGACTGTGACCGCCAATAGAAAGGTGAAAGCCACTAGAGACGGAATAAAGAAAGTTTTACTGCTAAAAATTAATAGGGAGGCATCCACCGTCTACTGCGGAAGAAAAGTGGAGGCGAAAATATTTACGCCGTTTATCAACACTGCTTCTGGTAATAATTTTCAAAACTGATAGTTCATTTTTAGTAAAAGTAAATTATCAATTAAAGTAAATAACTTGAAATTAAAAATATTTAGGAAGTAGATTTTTTTGTTGTTGTTTTAGATTTCCAGTCCCGGATAGTCAATTTGTTGTAAGAGATTACCGCATATTTACTAGATTCTTGTTCTTGCTTCATTTTCTCTTTCAGCCCAATTTTTTATATGTAAAGTGTTAGCACAAAACCCAGTTGGCATGGGACGTAAAAAGACGTCTTTTGAACGTTTTAGACAACTTTTGAACGTTAAAAAGACGTTTTGTGTACGTCAGCATTAGGGTTAGGGTTGCCGTCTGGGAAGCCTTCACTTATGAAAATGTCATAATATCTACTTTAGCTTTGTAGTCGAGTAATTTTAACACAATTGTTTGATTTTTTCTACCATCTTTTTTACCAACTTGATGAACTCGTTCAATGTTAATTTTTTTTATAAAAACCGAGACATTCAGTAAACAATTTTTGTACCTTTCTTTTGCCTCAGCTTTCGTTCTCACTTTCTCTAATACCATCAATTCTTAAATTGTTTCAGCGGG